GCTTCCTGTTTGAGTGCTGGTGGTGTGACTGGTGTGACATGAGATTGTCCCAGCTGGCAGCTTCCTGTTTGAGTGCTGGTGGTGTGACTGGTGTGACATGAGATTGTCCCCAGCTGGCAGCTTCCTGTTTGAGTGCTGGTGGTGTGACTGGTGTGACATGAGATTGTCCCCAGCTGGCAGCTTCCTGTTTGAGTGCTGGTGGTGTGACTGGTGTGACATGAGATTGTCCCCTAGCTGGCAGCTTCCTGTTTGAGTGCTGGTGGTGTGACTGGTGTGACATGAGATTGTCCCCAGCTGGCAGCTTCCTGTTTGAGTGCTGGTGGTGTGACTGTGACATGAGATTGTCCCCAGCTGGCAGCTTCCTGTTTGAGTGCTGGTGGTGTGACTGGTGTGACATGAGATTGTCCCCAGCTGGCAGCTTCCTGTTTGAGTGCTGGTGGTGTGACTGGTGTGACATGAGATTGTCCCCAGCTGGCAGCTTCCTGTTTGAGTGCTGGTGGTGTGACTGTGACATGAGATTGTCCCCAGCTGGCAGCTTCCTGTTTGAGTGCTGGTGGTGTGACTGGTGTGACATGAGATTGTCCCCAGCTGGCAGCTTCCTGTTTGAGTGCTGGTGGTGTGACTGGTGTGACATGAGATTGTCCCCAGCTGGCAGCTTCCTGTTTGAGTGCTGGTGGTGTGACTGTGACATGAGATTGTCCCAGCTGGCAGCTTCCTGTTTGAGTGCTGGTGGTGTGACTGTGACATGAGATTGTCCCCAGCTGGCAGCTTCCTGTTTGAGTGCTGGTGGTGTGACTGGTGTGACATGAGATTGTCCCCAGCTGGCAGCTTCCTGTTTGAGTGCTGGTGGTGTGACTGGTGTGACATGAGATTGTCCCCAGCTGGCAGCTTCCTGTTTGAGTGCTAGTGGTGTGACTGTGACATGAGATTGTCCCTAGCTGGCAGCTTCCTGTTTGAGTGCTGGTGGTGTGACTGGTGTGACATGAGATTGTCCCCAGCTGGCAGCTTCCTGTTTGAGTGCTGGTGGTGTGACTGGTGTGACATGAGATTGTCCCCAGCTGGCAGCTTCCTGTTTGAGTGCTAGTGGTGTGACTGTGACATGAGATTGTCCCTAGCTGGCAGCTTCCTGTTTGAGTGCTGGTGGTGTGACTGGTGTGACATGAGATTGTCCCCAGCTGGCAGCTTCCTGTTTGAGTGCTGGTGGTGTGACTGTGACATGAGATTGTCCCCAGCTGACAGCTTCCTGTTTGAGTGCTGGTGGTGTGACTGTGACATGAGATTGTCCCTAGCTGGCAGCTTCCTGTTTGAGTGCTGGTGGTGTGACTGGTGTGACATGAGATTGTCCCCAGCTGGCAGCTTCCTGTTTGAGTGCTGGTGGTGTGACTGTGACATGAGATTGTCCCCAGCTGGCAGCTTCCTGTTTGAGTGCTAGTGGTGTGACTGTGACATGAGATTGTCCCCAGCTGGCAGCTTCCTGTTTGAGTGCTAGTGGTGTGACTGTGACATGAGATTGTCCCTAGCTGGCAGCTTCCTGTTTGAGTGCTAGTGGTGTGACTGTGACATGAGATTGTCCCTAGCTGGCAGCTTCCTGTTTGAGTGCTGGTGGTGTGACTGGTGTGACATGAGATTGTCCCTAGCTGGCAGCTTCCTGTTTGAGTGCTAGTGGTGTGACTGTGACATGAGATTGTCCCTAGCTGGCAGCTTCCTGTTTGAGTGCTAGTGGTGTGACTGTGACATGAGATTGTCCCCAGCTGGCAGCTTCCTGTTTGAGTGCTAGTGGTGTGACTGTGACATGAGATTGTCCCCAGCTGGCAGCTTCCTGTTTGAGTGCTAGTGGTGTGACTGTGACATGAGATTGTCCCCAGCTGGCAGCTTCCTGTTTGAGTGCTAGTGGTGTGACTGTGACATGAGATTGTCCCTAGCTGGCAGCTTCCTGTTTGAGTGGCTGATCTTCGTGGGAAGCTGCACAATGGGAAGTGTTGCTAGAGAACTGCTTGTGTGGCTTCAGCTGTACACAGATACATACTTCAGTGTCGGGTGAATGTTTCACAGAGTGGGGGCACATTAAACAGGGACCTATGTGATTCCAAATTAAGTTCCCTTAACAAACAGATTGGCAATGTAATACAAAAATTGTAATTTTTATCAATGTGGATTTTCAAAAGTTATTTTTATTTTTTTATCATTAATGAGGTAATATTAAAGTTATATGTTTACATTGCGTCAATTTGGCTTTAATAATACCCAGTATAATAATGTTAAGTATTATAATGTTAATTCATGCATTAAAGCCTTTTTCTTTCTCTGTTTGTGTTTAGTGGTCAGTGAAGTGTGAGCCATCTCAGCCAAGTCACCCCATTATCTTGTCATGTCTTTTAACATGAACTGTTCATTGTTTACACACATTGAAGTCTGAATATCTCCCCTGAGCAGGTGTGGCTACATTTCAGTCGACGTCACATACATATACAAATATCAATTGTTGTTATCAAAGGATAGTAGTTCTTTAAGTACATGTATTAGCTTTTTTCCTGAAGTCCACAAATGTTTAATTTGACTGAATGTTATGTGTAACACAAAATTGGAAGAATGGATAATCTATTTGAAAGCTGATATTAGAAGGAATTTTGTTTGTTATGGCTCGTTGCTAAGCAGTAGTGTAATTTTTTTTCGCAATACAGTATTGTGTCACGATACAAGGGTCACAATACAATAGATCCAACCCCTGCATTGGAGTACATAAGATTCACTGCTCTACTGGTTATATTGATGTAAAAACATGGATGATAACAGAAACCGTTCCAGAACCCATTTATGCAGATTTTCTCGATGTTTCCTGTTTAGCTATAAATAGCATGATCTTCGCAGTGCCTCTTAGTAGCTTATATTTTTCTCCTTTACAATGACCTATCTTTGCCATCTGAAATTTGATAACAAATTATTCAGGATTGTGATTCACCAGCAAAACGTGAGAGAATATGAATTTAAGAAATATAAGTACTGCTTTGGGATACAAAACGAATCGCACCAATGTTATCAGGATACATATCGTATCATGTCTTCAACGTACCTTCGCACCTCTATCAAACCTCTGTTGCTGAGAAGTTCTTTTTTTCCTATACCCACAGCAGCCTTGTCCCTGTGATGCAGCGAGCAGCTCACATCATTCCTTCCTTAGTTCCTTCCTTCCTTGGGGCCGTTGTGACCAGAAATATTAACTCACTCACTCCATGAGTGTGAGCACACACAATTAGTTCGTGGTCACTTTCTGAAAGTATTTCAGTCACTTAGCCTTTAATATGGGAAGAGTGCATGAGTATGGTTTTACGCCGCTTTTAGCAACATTCCAGCAATATCACGGCGGAGGACACCAGAAACAGGCTTCACACATTGTACCCATGCGGGGATGATAGGTCATACTCATGCGATCACACTCCAGATTTGTTTTAGTTAGTTTACAAGGCCGACTGATGACACTTTAACACTGCAGTTTACACCTGAGACAAAGAAAAATCCAGTTAAGGGTCATGCTCAGAACATGTAATCGTCTGTCTCACAGTCCCTGAGCTGCATTATTTTGCCCTCCACACTGCCCTTTCTGCAGTGCTGTAGACCTAAATGTAGTATGTTGCCCTCCACACTGCCCTTTCTGCAGTGCTGTAGACCTAAATGTAGTATGTTGCCCTCCACACTGCCCTTTCTGCAGTGCTGTAGACCTAAATGTAGTATGTTGCCCTCCACACTGCCCTTTCTGCAGTGCTGTAGACCTAAATGTAGTATGTTGCCCTCCACACTGCCCTTTCTGCAGTGCTGTAGACCCAAATGTAGCATGTTGCCCTCCACACTGCCCTTTCTGCAGTGCTGTAGACCTAAATGTAGTATGTTGCCCTCCACACTGCCCTTTCTGCAGTGCTGTAGACCTAAATGTAGTATGTTGCCCTCCACACTGCCCTTTCCCACACTGCCCTTTCTGCAGTGCTGTAGACCTAAATGTAGTATGTTGCCCTCCACACTGCCCTTTCTGCAGTGCTGTAGACCTAAATGTAGTATGTTGCCCTCCACACTGCCCTTTCTGCAGTGCTGTAGACCTAAATGTAGTATGTTGCCCTCCACACTGCCCTTTCTGCAGTGCTGTAGACCTAAATGTAGTATGTTGCCCTCCACACTGCCCTTTCTGCAGTGCTGTAGACCTAAATGTAGTATGTTGCCCTCCACACTGCCCTTTCTGCAGTGCTGTAGACCTAAATGTAGCATGTTGCCCTCCCCCTTTCTGCAGTGCTGTAGACCTAAATGTAGTATGTTGCCCTCCACACTGCCCTTTCTGCAGTGCTGTAGACCTAAATGTAGTATGTTGCCCTCCACACTGCCCTTTCTGCAGTGCTGTAGACCTAAATGTAGTATGTTGCCCTCCACACTGCCCTTTCTGCAGTGCTGTAGACCTAAATGTAGCAAGTCTAGATTTCCTCAGGTTCTGAATCTCTCTTCTCACTGGGGCGGTGGGGTAGCCTAGTGGTTAAAGCGTTTGCTCGTCACGCGGAAGGCCCGGGTTCGATTCCCCACATGGGTACAATGTGTGAAGCCCATTTCTGGTGTCCCCCGCCGTGATATTGCTGGAACATTGATAAAAGCGGCGTAAAACCGAACTCACTCACTCACTCACTCACTCACTCTCTTCTCACTGGGGCTCCTTTTCAGTTTCCATGGAATTATTTGTATCTGTCAATATAATATTTATATTCAGAGACGAGGCATTAGTCTATATGTGTAAAACAATTGTACATGTTTCCACGTTATAGTCTAACACACATGTATTTTGTTTGGAAGGCTGCATGATATGTATGTCTTCATCAAATATGTTCATCTGTGGTAATGAAGTTGTGAAACTGTTTATAGTTCATTGCTATGTTATGTGGATATGACCAAGGTGAAAAGACTAAGATTGTTCTGTAAAGGAAGATAAAAAAATGGATTTGGTGAGAATATTTATACTTATATTTCAGGTATATCGCCGACTGTGTTGCAAGAGCAGCCCAGAGACAAAACCCAACTTCAATGTGCTCTGCATCGGGTTGACAGGGGCTGGGAAGAGTGCCCTGCTGGCTCTACTCAGTGGGGATGAGTTCCACAACATCCCACCAACCGTGGGTAAGTCACCGTTTATCAGTGGGGTGGGGGCTGACACTGTCAGTGGGGATAGTGGTGCCCTGCTAACACTAGTTCTACAATATTCCTCCTACTGCAGCAAGTCACTTGGTACTTGTATCAGGGGAGTTAGGGGTTGTGTCACGGTGTACAGAAGGGGGAGATGTAGCACTGAAGGAATAAGGAAGTTAAGTTTAGATGGCTACTAGACCTTCTCAAATAAGTAAAGAAAGAAATCCACAATGTGTGACTAATCAGTAACTTGGATCTCGGTCACCGATGACCTTTGGTTGGAAGTGACTTCAGATGTTTTAGAATCAAATCAAATCAACTGATCAACTGTTCACACATATTGAAAAAGTATGTCATGATTACCATCACCTCGTATTTTTTCCCCATTGCTCTTGTGAAACATGTGCCATGGCTGTAAGATTCACGCTGAACAAGCTTTCCCCGTGTGTTTTCCATTGGGGTAATTGCTTATCCCTTGCTTGACAAATATGTTTTCACAAATTATCAACAAAATGGTTTCCTGTAGGCGTGCAAAACATAGTTGTAAAGATGGTTTGGGGCTCTGTATTTCACATCTCTGAGCTCTAACAAGATTTCAGTGGGCAACATAAAGCATTTCCCCCATTAGCTCTGTCTCTGCTCTCAACAACAAAGATTGTTTCAGCCACAGGCAGTCAGTGCAGACGGCCATCAAAAGTAGAAATGATTTGATTCAGTGTTGGATATCAAAAGTTGGGAGTGGCGGTAATTGTTGCCGGGCGGTAATTGTTGCCGGTAATTGTTGCCGAAGAGTAAGAGTTGCCCAACTCCCCCAAAAATGAGATGAAATGTGTGAGTGTGTTCGCAGACCTGGTTCAGTACAAGTGCCAATGGGGAAGGAAGCCATTTTATTTGATGATGGTGAAATGCCGCATAGATAATGTGGCTCTACAAAATGTCCATGTACATTCCGACACATGTTATTGATTGGAAATATTCTGTTATGTCAGCATAAAGCAAAATTTACAGCAGGAATCCATCATTATCTTCCTTGTATTGGTGAAAGCTGAAGTGCCTCTGCTGCTTATTGTGTTATCCTTGTGGTATTGGACATTCAGCATCTGTCCTAAACCTTCTGTAATCAGTGAAGTGAAGACGCTGAAACTTTTCGCAGATGGACTTGTTCAAATAGCTTCCTACAAATTCACTCCCAAGTTTTGTGGGCAGTGACAACCTTATTGACAAGGCTATTTGGGGCACTGACTGTCTCCCAGTTCTATAGATGATGTAAGGAGGTGGTGCGTGTGTTGTTGTACCAGACATGCAACCTTATTGACAAGGCTATTTGGGGCACTGACTGTCTCCCAGTTCTATAGATGATGTAAGGAGGTGGTGCGTGTGTTGTGTACCAGACATGCAACCTTATTGACAAGGCTATTTGGGGCACTGACTGTCTCCCAGTTGTATAGATGATGTAAGGAGGTGGTGCGTGTGTTGTTGTGTACCAGACATGCAACCTTATTGACAAGGCTATTTGGGGCACTGACTGTCTCCCAGTTGTATAGATGATGTAAGGAGGTGGTGCATGTGTTGATGTGTACCAGACATGCAACCTTATTGACAAGGCTATTTGGGGCACTGACTGTCTCCCAGTTGTATAGATGATGTAAGGAGGTGGTGCGTGTGTTGATGTGTACCAGACATGCAACCTATATCATTTACCGTATCTCTTTACAAACATGGTAACCATGGTAACACATGTCAGGATCCTGCTTTTGGCATCGCTGGCAAAAGTATCAGTTCCTCTTTTAAATATACTCTGCAACACCAAGAATAATGAAATCTTACTTTGAAATTGTCCGCATTTTCTCCATCTGATGTGTAGTTAGTTCCCATGGAAACCATTTTCATAAAGAAATATCTGGACATTGGTATGTGGTTAGTTTGTTTTCAATTGGTTTAGCCTAATAATGACTGGATGGTGTTCATGTGGAATGACTGGATGGTGTTCATCATGTTGAATGACTGGACGGTGTTCATTATTTTGAATGACTGGATGGTGTTTATGTTAAGTGACTTTATGGTCATCATGTTGTATGACTGGATGGTGTTCATCATGTTGTATGACTGGATGGTGTTCATCATGTTGAATGACTGAATGGTGTTCATCATGTTAAATGACGGGATGATGTAATTTTTAATGACCGGATGGTGTTCATCATGTTAAATAACTGGATGGTGTTCATCATGTTAAATGACTAGATAGTGTTCATCATGTTAAATGACTTAATGGTGTTCATCATGTTGAATGACTGGATGGTGTTCATCATGTTAAATGACTGGATGGTGTTCATCATGTTAAATGACTGGACGGTGTTCATTATTTTGAATGACTGGATGGTGTTCATCATGTTAAATGACTTGAGTGTGTTCATGTTAAGTGACTGGATGGTGTTCATCATGATGAACACCATTCAGTCATTTAACATGATGAACACCATGAACACCATCCAGTTATTTAATATGATGAACACCATCCGATCATTAAAAATAACATCATCACGTCATTTAACATGATGATGAATTACATGAAGTCATTTAACATGATGAACACCATTAAGTCATTAACATGATGAACACCATCAATAATTTAACATGATGAACACCATCCAGTTATTTAATATGATGAACACCATCCGTTATTTAACATGATGAACACCATCCGATCACTAAAAATAACATCATCCCGTCATTTAACATGATGAACACCATTCAGTCATTCAACATGATGAACACCATCCAGTCATAAAACATGATGAACACCATCCAGTCATTTAACATGATGAACAACATCCAGTAATAAACCTTGATGAACACCATCCGGTCATTAAAAATAACATCACCCTGTCATTTAACATGATGAACACCATCCAGTCATTTAACATGATGAACACCATCCAGTTATTTAACATGATGAACACCATCCAGTTATTTAATATGATGAACACCATCCGGTCATTAAAAATAACATCATCACGTCATTTAACATGATGAACACCATTCAGTCATTTAACATGATGAACACCATCCAGCCATTCAACATGAACACCATCCAGTCATTTAACATGATGAACACCATCCAGTCATTTAACATGATGAACACCATCCAGTTATTTAACATGATGAACACCATCCAGTTATTTAACATGATGAACACCATCCGGTCATTAAAAATAACATCATCACGTCATTTAACATGATGAACACCATTCAGTCATTCAACATGATGAACACCATCCAGTCATACAACATGATGAACACCATCCAGTTATTAAACATGATGAACACCATCCAGTCATTTAACATGATGAACACCATCCAGTTATTTAACATGATGAACACCATCCGGTCATTAAAAATAACATCATCCCGTCATTTAACATGATAAACACCATTCAGTCATTCAACATGATGAACACCATCCAGTCATTCAACATGAACACCATCCAGTCATTTAACATGATGAACACCATCCAGTCATTTAACATGATGAACACCATGAAGTCATTTAACATGATGAACACCATTAAGTCATTTAACATGATGAACACCATCCAGTCATTTAACATGATGAACACCATCCAGTTATTTAACATGATGAACACCATCCGGTCATTAAAAATAACATCATCACGTCATTTAACATGATGAACACCATTCAGTCATTCAACATGATGAACACCATCCAGTCATACAACATGATGAACACCATCCAGTTATTAAACATGATGAACACCATCCAGTCATTTAACATGATGAACACCATCCAGTTATTTAACATGATGAACACCATCCGGTCACTAAAAATAACATCATCCGTCATTTAACATGATTAACACCATCCAGTCATTCAACATGATGAACACCATCCAGTCATAAAACATGATGAACACCATCCAGTCATTTAACATGATGAACAACATCCAGTAATAAACCTTGATGAACACCATCCGGTCATTAAAAATAACATCACCCTGTCATTTAACATGATGAACACCATCCAGTCATTTAACATGATGAACACCATCCAGTTATTTAACATGATGAACACCATCCAGTTATTTAATATGATGAACACCATCCGGTCATTAAAAATAACATCATCCAGTCATTTAACATGATGAACACCATTCAGTCATTCAACATGATGAACACCATCCAGTCATACAACATGATGAACACCATCCAGTCATTAAACATGATGAACACCATCCAGTCATTTAACATGATGAACACCATCCAGTCATTTAACATGATGAACACCATCCAGTTATTTAACATGATGAACACCATCCGGTCATTAAAATAACATCATCATGTCATTTAACATGATGAACACCATTCAGTCATTCAACATGATGAACACCATCCAGTCATACAACATGATGAACACCATCCAGTTATTAAACATGATGAACACCATCCAGTCATTTAACATGATGAACACCATCCAGTTATTTAACATGATGAACACCATCCGGTCATTAAAAAATAACATCATCCGTCATTTAACATGATGAACACCATCCAGTTATTTAATATGATGAACACCATCCGGTCATTAAAATAATAACATCATCACGTCATTTAACATGATGAACACCATTCAGTCATTTAACATGATGAACACCATGAACACCATCCAGTTATTTAATATGATGAACACCATCCGGTCATTAAAAGAAATAACATCATCGTCATTTAACATGATGAACACCATCCAGTCATTTAACATGATGAACACCATCCAGTCATTCAACATGATGAACACCATCCAGTCATTTAAAATGATGAACACTATCCAGTCTTAAAACATGATGAACACCATCCGGCCATTAAAAAATAACATCACCCTGTCATTTAACATGATGAACTGGATGGTGTTCATCATGTTAAATGACTGGATGGTGTTCATGTTGAATGGCTGGATGGTGTTCATCATGTTAAATGACTGAATGGTGTTCATCATGTTAAATGACGTGATGATGTTATTTTTAATGACCGGATGGTGTTCATCATATTAAATAACTGGATGGTGTTCATCATGTTAAATAACTGGATGGTGTTCATCATGTTAAATGACTTAATGGTGTTCATCATGTTAAATGACTGGATGGTGTTCATCATGTTAAATGACTGGATGGTGTTCATCATTTAAATGACTTGATGGTGTTCATCATGTTAAATGACTTAATGGTGTTCATAATGTTAAATGACTGGATGGTGTTCATCATGTTAAATGACTGGATGGCGTTCATCATGTTAAATGACAGGGTGATGTTATATTTAATGACTGGATGGTGTTAATCATGTTAAATGACTGGATGGTGTTCATCATGTTAAATGAGTGGATGGTGTTAATCAGTTTTCACGAGTAGTGTCTGACCCTCTGACAAATCCGGCAGATTTGCCAACGGTCCGATAGAAGTCTATAACCTGCCGGCCCCAGTGTCCGACTCTATATTTCACAATGACTTTGACTGAAGTCGTTATATGTGACACTTGTTTGCTGTTTATAAATCTTATGTTTGTTAATTATTTCAATGCCAGTTATAAGAAATGTTAAATCTGAAATGTGTGTTTAATTTTATTCTATGGGTCCTCTGAATTTTCAATGGGTCAGACAAGACATCTAAAACTTACAGGACCCAATGTCCTGTTACTTTGAAACACCATTTGTGAACACTGTTAATCATGTTAAATGGCAGGATGGTGTTAATCATGTTAAATGACTGGATGGTGTTCATCGTGTTAAATGACTGAATGGTGTTCATCATGTTAAATGACAGGGTGATGTTATTTTTAATGACTGGATGGTGTTCATCATGTTGAATGACTGGATGGTGTTAATCATCATGTTAAATGGATGGTATGGTCATGTAATCACTGTTTAAAATGACTAGATGGTGTTCATCATGTTAAATGACTGAATGGTGTTCATCATTTTAAATGACAGGGTGATGTTATTTTTAATGACTGGATGGTGTTCATCATGTTGAATGACTGGATGGTGTTCATCATGTTAAATGACTGGATGGTGTTAATCATGTTAAATGACTGGATGGTTTTAATCATGTTAAATGACTGGATGGTGTTCATCATGTTAAATGACTAGATGGTGTTCATCATTTTAAATGACTGGATGGTGTTCATCATGTTAAATGACTGGATGGTGTTCATCATGTTAAATGACTGGATGGTGTTCATGTTGAATGACTGGATGGTGTTCATGTTAAATGACTGGATGGTGTTCATCATGATAAATGACTGGATGGTGTTCGTCATGTTAAATGACTGAATGGTGTTCATCATGTTAAATGACAGGATGATGTTATTTTTATGACTGGATTGTGTTCATCATGTGTAATTTTTAATGATTTAAATATGCTTTGTTTTTTCAGGTTTCAGTATCAAAGCACTCATATTTGAAGACTGCATATTGGACGTAAAAGAACTGGGAGGTATGTTTTATATTGGAGGTTTTTACACCATGCAAAAATGCAGAGGATGGACACAGAAAAACAAAAATACTGCATCCTAAGAGACGCACAAAAATGCTTACAGTGTACCTACAGCGCAGTAAGAGTAGTTATGGGTCATTACAGGCTCTGGCTCACGATACAAGATCCTTACCTTCAGGCACACTTAAAATCCCCTGGGCCCCCAATTTTGTAATTCCATGTAAAACCCTGGTTGTATGTTTATTTAATTATAATTTCGTGCTTTCAAGTTTACACAGATTCCCGAACGTTGGTTGGTTGAGAGAGCGGTCATGTGATCATAATTTCAAGGTTCATTACTCTTGAACCCCTCTAATCGTTCATACTTGTGTAAACACCGTTCATACGTGTGTGAACGTTTTTAGCTTCGGTTTCAAGGACCCCCAATAAATGGTGATGCCAATTTCGCGAACGAACCTGTTTCAAGTCACCCCAAGTTTGGCAATGTCACTACCAAACGGATTGCCGAACATTGTTCCTTTTCACAGGAGTTTAATGTTTCGCAGTTTACTGCGGGTTCATCTGGCGGTTTTCTGCCGAGGTCTGTTTAACAACTGCTCAATAAATTTCACAATAAACAATCACAAATAAACAGAATACAACAAGATCAGCTTCCTATTAAGCCACGCACAACTTGAAGTCGGTCAGTGTATTATTACGGTCAAACAAGGTATTTACAAGTGAAAAGGTACAATGCCAGCTGGTTAAAATGCTATTGTTATTGCTTCTGATATTTGTTTCTGTTTGATGCTGTTATTGATGTTATACTTATTAAAGCAGTTTCAAACCTCATAACGAATTTGTTGTTATATTTTAAAGATCGGATTCTTTGAGAACTATTTCTTCAAGGGTTGGGATACATGTGTAAAGAAAATCGCTGTGTATACAAACATCGCTGCAATACGTACGTTCTTGAACCGAAAGGGCATTACAACATTTTACAGGTATTAAAACACACTAAACAATGATCATCTACAAATGGGTGGAAAACGTATGTGTAAACTTCAAAGTGCGAAATTATAAGAATTGAATGTCAGTTCGTAAACTCGCTCGTTCACACGAGTTTGAACACCGCTTTGACATCGTTCATTTTTCAGTGCAAACACACAAACTGACATTCAATTCTTAAATAATGGACCAGATTTTGATATGTTTGATGCATCTGCTGTACTGAAAGCCTTTGAGTGATCCTAGGTCAGAACAGATCCCATGCTTATTACTACTTGTGGAGTCCAGGGAAAGTACCCTACCTTCATCTTCTCATTGGAACTCTGGGTCAGAATAGACCCAGTTCTAGAATATTGCAGACTGTAGGGTAAAACAGTGGCTGTTTTAAGCTGATTAAATGACAAGTACAACTTAGCCCCAGGAAATTCACAAGTATGCTTCTAAACTCTGCTCATTTGATATACATCACTGACAGAGTTGACGGATTGGATTTGTCATCATGGCATAATGAACAAGCAACTAGAACACTGTTAACAGGGTGTCAGCCCGGGAAAGCCACATTTGAAAAATACCAATTGCCGCTAAAGCCACATTTCCAGTACAAACCTCAGAGCCGTGAATCGCCGTGAAAGCCACAATGAGTAAGGGAATCAATACCGTTTTTTCAAATAAGCATCACCCATTGTGCTTTGCCATTGATCACAATGGATTAAAATTGTTTTAGTGACTTGTCCTTTGTTTGTTTAGTTAACATATGATGGGCGGCTTCTTTATTCTCGTTGAAGTTTTTAGTTAACATATGATAACATATGTTCTGAGATAAAAGATACATGCTAATGGGTCATTCTTTGGAAAAGGGCAATTTCAGATTTTGCTCTTCAGGAAATTCTTTTTGTATTTTTTATTTCTTCATGTAAACTACTTTGGTTTGTATGATTGGTATATTACATCAGCAGAGAAGTTTGGACAAGAATTTTATTGTGACGATTCAACTTTAAACCAAAATGTCATTACCGCAACGGCAGCAAAAATCCTGATTTTGGAAAAGCTAGTCATAAATTTTACTTAAAAACAGTTATGAAATGGAAAGAGTTAGGCGTCACATATGTGGCTGTTTATAAGTATATTTGTGAAATTAATGGTCATTCTTCTAAACTGTGTTTTTATCCCCCGCCGCGCATTTAGCGAGAAGCGGGGGATATAGTATTAGCCTCCGTCCGTACGTACGTAGGTACGAATTGGAATATCTTAAGAACCATTGACTAGATTCTTTTCATACTTGGTACCTAGGTTCATCACAGTATAGAAAGGTCCCATTTCAAGGTCATAAGGGGACTTTAACGTTTTACCCTTGTCAGCAAGATATCTCAAGAACCGTTCACTGGATTTTCTTCATATTGGACACCAATCTTCATATAGGGAAAGCGCAGGGCCCAGTTGAGTTTGGTGACCTTCACATAATTTTCAAGGTCACGAAGACACTTTGAAGATTTCAGCATGTTATCCTGCATGTTAAGCTTGTCAGCGAGATACCTCAAGAACCGTTGACTGGATTTTCATCATGTTTGACACCAGGCTTCATACAGGGAAGGTGCAGGGCCCTTCGAGTTTGGTGACCTTCACATGATTTTCAAGGTCACAGCGACACTTTGAAGATTTCAGCATGTTAAGATTACCAGCAAGATATCTCAAGAACGGTTCACTGGAATTTCTTCATAGACTTTCAAGACTTTTCTTGAATGTTTTTGATAAGCAATTTCTCTATTACTATTTTTTGCATATTTCATACACCATGACATTCATGTCAAGGTCAAAGTGAGTCTTGAAAATATTTGTGTGTTTGAACAGCTACAGAGCAAGATATCAAGAGAGGTTGACTGGTCATGTTTTTGTTGACATTTAACTTCATCTTAAACTATGACCTTCACTTTCATTACTCTTTAAGTTTGATTTGATAATTTGCGTCGGGGGATTATGTCCCCTTAGTGACAACTGCTTGTTTTTTTTCAGTTTTCTAACATGAATGTAAACATAATAAATGAGGCAACAATAGCTCTTATCTCGAACAGTTGTCAGAAAAGTATAAAACATTGAATTGACCCTCCCATAAATTAAAATGCTTCAAAGAAATAATGGGTTGTTTAATCATAAAAAATTTCGTAAAAGGTGTTTGAGTACCTACGTGAGGCAACTAGTTTGCATGATCTGGACTTTTCTCCTCGAACAATTCAACTGGATTTCTAGATTTTACATATTGAATATTTCACATTAAATACGGTAAGGTGGATTAGCTAATAGCACATTCCCGGGAGAGTCACATTCACACGACCTCTCAACCATGCCCATTGCTGGTTGAGCCACACCATTTTCAACTCTGTTTTTCTTAAATGTGGCTTTCCCGGGCTATAACGGTTAACAGATGGGAGAGATCTCTCCTGGTGACAGGTCCCTCGTTACGAGGTGTCTCTAGGTTGTATCCACCAGGTAAACATGCATCCAACATGTGGGAACACCATGTTTGTTGATTTGAAACCAGTCATGCCTCACCAGCTATCATAATATATTCAGGCTCTTCTGTTTAGGTTGGAAAATTATTAGTGTTAAGTTGATCATGCACTGGGGAAATGTGGTTGTAATGGATCTGTAGAAAGGTCAAAAGAATACTTTGCTTACAAGACATTAAGATTACAACTTGGGGGATGAACCACATCACTGGAAATAGAAGAAGTTAGGGTTAATGAATGACCAAATCACCTGGAACAAAACTAGCTTTTGGGTGGGGAAGAAACCCAGACACCTGGTCAGGGCATACCGGAGAATCAAACACCAGACACCTGGTCAGGGCATACCGGAGATTCAGACACCAGACACCTGGTCAGGGCATACCGGAGAATCAGACACCAGACACCTGGTCAGGGCATACCGGAGAATCAGACACCAGACACCTGGTCAGGGCATACCGGAGATTCAGACACCAGACACCTGGTCAGGGCATACCGGAGAATCAAACACCAGACACCTGGTCAGGGCATACCGGAGATTCAGACACCAGACACCTGGTCAGATACCGGAGATTCAGACACCAGACACCTGGTCAGGGCATACCGAGAATCAGACACCTGGTCCTGGCAGGGCACAGACTGGTCAGGGCACACCGGAATCAGACACCAGACACCTGGTCAGGGAATACAGAGAATCAGACACCTGGTCAGGGCATACCGGAGAATCAGGTCAGGGCATGCACCAGACACCTGGTCAGGGCATACCGGAGAATCAGACACCAGACACCTGGTCAGGGCATACAGGAGAATCAGACACCTGGTCAGGGCATACAGGAGAATCAGACACCAGACACCTGGTCAGGGCATACCAGAGAATCAGACACCAGACACCTGGTCAGGGCATACCAGAGAATCAGACACCAGACACCTGGTCAGGGCATACAGGAGAATCAGACACCAGACACCTGGTCAGGGCATACAGGAGAACCAGACACCTGGTCAGGGCATACAGGAGAACCAGACACCTGGTCAGGGCATACAGGAGAATCAGACACCTGGTCAGGGCATACCGGAGAATCAGACACCAGACACCTGGTCAGGGCATACCGGAGAATCAGACACCAGACACCTGGTCAGGGCATACAGGAGAATCAGACACCAGACACCTGGTCAGGGCATACAGGAGAATCAGACACCTGGTCAGGGCATACAGGAGAATCAGACACCAGACACCTGGTCAGGGCATACAGGAGAATCAGACACCAGACACCTGGTCAGGGCATACCGGAGAATCAGACACCAGACACCTGGTCAGGGCATACAGGAGAATCAGACACCAGACACCTGGTCAGGGCATACAGGAGAATCAGGAGAATCAGACACCAGACACCTGGTCAGGGCATACAGGAGAATCAGACACCAGACACCTGGTCAGGGCATACAGGAGAATCAGACACCAGACACCTGGTCAGGGCATACAGGAGAATCAGACACCAGACACCTGGTCAGGGCATACCGGAGAATCAGACACCTGGTCAGGGCATACCGGAGAATCAGACACCAGACACCTGGTCAGGGCATACCGGAGAATCAGACACCTGGTCAGGGCATACCGGAGAATCAGACACCAGACACCTGGTCAGGGCATACAGGAGAATCAGACACCTGGTCAGGGCATACCGGAGAATCAGACACCAGACACCTGGTCAGGGCATACCGGAGAATCAGACACCAGACACCTGGTCAGGGCATACAGGAGAATCAGACACCAGACACCTGGTCAGGGCATACAGGAGAATCAGACACCTGGTCCAGACACCTGGTCAGGGCATACAGGAGAACCAGACACCTGGTCAGACACCAGACACCTGGTCAGGGCATACAGGAGAATCAGACACCTGGTCAGGGCATACAGGAGAATCAGACACCTGGTCAGGGCATACAGAATCAAACACCAGACACCTGGTCAGGGCATACCGGAGAATCAGACACCTGACACCTGGCATACATACGGAGAATCAGACACAGACACCTGGTCAGGGCATACCGGAGAATCAGACACCAGACACCTGGTCAGGGCATACCGGAGAATCAGACACCAGACACCTGGTCAGGGCATACCGGAGAATCAAACACCAGACACCTGGTCATACCCGAGGGAATCAGGACAATCAGACACCTGGTCAGGGCATACAGGAGAATCAGACACCAGACACCTGGTCAGGGCATACAGGAGAACCAGACACCTGGTCAGGGCATACAGGAGAGAATCAGACACCTGGTCAGGGCATACAGGAGAATCAGACACCAGACACCTGGTCAGGGCATACCGAGACACCTGGTCAGGGCAGGGACACCTGGTCAGGGCATACCGGAGAATCAGACACCAGACACCTGGTCAGGGCATACCGGAGAATCAGACACCTGGTCAGGGCATACAGGAGAACCAGACACCTGGTCAGGGCATACCGGAGAGAATCAGACACCTGATCAGGGCATACCGGAGAACCAGACACCTGGTCAGGGCATACCGGAGAATCAGACACCAGACACCTGGTCAGGGCATACCGGAGAATCAGACACCAGACACCTGGTCAGGGCATACCGGAGATTCAGACACCAGACACCTGGTCAGGGCATACCGGAGATTCAGACACCTGGTCAGGGCATACCGGAGAATCAAACCAACAATCATAAGTGGCATGTCCAGGGGGCGCAACTCTTCTAAGCAAATTGCTGCCCCTTCGCTGACTGGGCGCTACTTCCCCATACACTATGTATATGGTGTAGTTTTGCTCAGTAAAGGAAGAAGGAAATGCATGTGGTGTTAAGTAGGGAGGTAGTAAAAATGTGATAATGTATTATGTTCCTGTAGAAGCAGGCTATGAGCGATGATTGACCAGAAAAACATCTATAATTTCATGTATAAATGCACCTCTCCATGTCAGTATTGTTGCTTGGATTAATTACAGTGATTAGCAGGAGCATGGTGCTGAAGTAATACTGCTATAGAGGTGTTGACTGGTTGAGGGTAATCACTACAGATGTGTCAACATATATATTGTTACGTCATTTATGAGGTCTTGCTGCATGTGTTACCATCTGCTGTCAACATCTGTCTCATTTACAACCCTTTGTCTAAGGGTAAATTATATACAAGAGCTAACAATCTGATAGACTGATTGACCTAGATATGCTTGTTGTTTATGGCTGCAGTATTTGGTCAACAACATACTCATTCTGTCAGTGGTCCACCGCTGACCTTGTGGCCAAAAAAGATGTAATTCTCATCTCTTAACATGGCAGTAGGTTCAAATCCCAAAGTTGCCCTGACTATGATGTAGCTTGTCACATGGAAATATGTAGAAATATCTGGCAACTAGTACATACATAGCCTGTGGAATTACAAAATACCTTATAGTCTGTTTGGCTCCGGACCGATGAATTGCAATCTAACTCGAAAACTAATAATAATATAATACTCAATGAAATACTGATCATAATCAAAACATCAGACCAACTCTGTGAGTGTTTTGCAGAATATATGTCCTAAAAATAAAAAAGTTGTTTAACAAACTATCATTAAAAGTTTGACAGAGTTCACTATTTGACAGGGAGGGTGCACCAGGTTTGTTAACTTTGTCAGGTGCAGGCTGTTCCTCTCAACAAATAGTGAACTTTGTTAAATTTTCAAGTGGCATTTAGAAGCTGGTATCATGAAGAAAAACAATATTTAGGGAAAGACAACTTCTTCATTGCAATAAGAATGAATGCAGAGTTAAAATACCTCTATTATGAGAAGTTGCAAAACAAAATATCCCAATATTGACCAAAATATGAAAATTTGAGTTTAAATAAAGCTTTTCCCAGTTTGCTTGCCCAGGGTACGTTTGGGTTGCATCCAAGTAGTAAACTCACACCACCAACATCACAATTTGGCCACACCTCGATGTAACTCTGTTTCTGACCCACTCACAGTTCAGATGACTTAAATACTTGAACTATGTATTCAAGTCATTGTGTTAAGTGTTTAAAGTCTCATGTATAACATCACAAGCATAATTAAAGAACATACACTACTCTAAAAGATGTGAAGGACCTCCCTGTTCTATCATATGACTAAAGTTAATCAGTCTTAAAGCATCGTTTGCAAACAATAGCCGATAACACCTTGTTCTGCAAGAAAGGTTTCAGCTCCTGTGACCTCACAACAGGCATAAGTTATCACGTGACTGGACTTCTTTTATACTGAAAACAGAACTGATAGGCCTTTTGTAGGCATAGGCTTGTGTGGCTGGACTTCTTTTATACTGAAAAAAGAGCTGATAGGCCTTATGTCGGCGTAGCCTTATCACGCGACTGTACTTCTTTTATACTGAAAAAACCCTGATAGGCCTTATTTCGGCGTAGCCTGAAATAAGAACTGATAGGCCTTTTGTAGGCAAAGGCTTGTGTGGCTGGACTTTTTTTATAGTGAGAAAAACCCTGATGGCCTTATGTCGGCGTAGCCTTATCACGTGACTGGACTTCTGTTATATTGAAAGAAGAATCGATAGGCCTTTTGTAGGCATAGGCTTGTGTGGCTGTACTTCTTTTATACTGAAATAAGAACTGATAGGTCTCATGTCGGCGTAGCCTTATCACACGACTGTACTTCTTTTATACTGAAAAAAACCCTAATAGGCCTTATGTCGGCGTAGCCTTTTCACGTGACTGTACTTCGGTTATTCTGAAATAAGAACTGATAGGCCTAATGTAGGCATAGGCTTGTGTGGCTGTACTTCTTTTATTCTGAAATAAGAACTGATAGGCCTCATGCCGGCGTAGGATTTTCATGTGACTGTACTTCGGTTATTCTGAAATAAGAACTGATAGGCCTAATGTAGGCATAGGCTTGTGTGGCTGTACTTCTTTTATTCTGAAATAAGAACTGATAGGCCTTATGTCGGCGCAGCATTTTCATGTGACTGGACTTCTTTTATTCTGAAATAAGAACTGATAGGCCTAATGTAGGCATAGGCTTGTGTGGCTGTACTTCTTTTATTCTGAAATAAGAACTGATAGGCCTTATGTCGGCGTAGCATTATCATGTGACTGGACTTCTTTTATTCTGAAATAAGAACTGATAGGCCTAATGTAGGCATAGGTTTGTGTGGCTGTACTTCTTTTATACTGAAATAAGAACTGATAGGCCTTATGTCGGCGCAGCCTTATCATGTGACTGGACTTCTTTTATTCTGAAATAAGAACTGATAGGCCTAATGTAGGCATAGGCTTGTGTGGCTGTACTTCTTTTATGCTGAAATAAGAACTGATAGGCCTCATGTAAGCATTTTGGTGTGTGTTACACATTGTTTTGCGTGATTACATGTGTTACACATTGTTTTGCGTGATTACATGTGTTACACATTGTTTTGCGTGATTACATGTGTTACACATTTTTTTGCGTGATTACATGTGTTACACATTTTTTTGAGTGATTATACACGTGTACTACTACAACTACTAACTACAACAGTCAGGCGTGAGACAATGGCGTCACTTTATAGCTATTTCTTGGAATGGTTTGATGACCATGATGACAGGACACCAAGAAATAAATACTCAAATGAAATAGTACTTCACATTTTCAGATAGTTACACTGTGAAAGTTAGACATTAAGCAAAGTAATTTTATCTGGGAAAACAAATAATAATATCTATGGTTAAAATGTACATTTTCTTTCAATAGCTGAAAAATAAATATTTAATGCTAATTAATCAGCACTTTCATCTGCTTCAAACAGGAGGAGAGAATGTCCGTCCATACTGGGACCGCTACTTTGAAGGCAGCCAAGGAATAATCTTTGTAGTGGACAGTGCAAGCACGGAGGAGGACTTCGCTACAGCTAAGTCTGAGCTGAACAAGGCGTTGTCCAGCCAGTTCCTGCGAGGACTGCCACTGCTGGTACTAGCCAACCACCAGGATGTAGAAGGAGCCAAGTCTGATGCAGAGGTATAAGGGGAGAGAACTCTTTACACTTAAACCCTGTCAATAAGCATATTTCAGGTTTCTGTTGCATGAATAATATGTTTTTGTCCAAAAAAGCTTGTGGTATTAGGCATCAGAAAAATGATAAAAAATGATAATGTGAAAATATGATGATCTTAAGCAAGAATTGTTTTTTTCTTTAACATGTCCAATGTGTGCAAGCAAAAGTCAATTGTATTTTTGATGTTAGTAAAGTTAAAATAAGTTTAAATTCTAAAATATATACAATGTTTCAATATGTTTATTTCCCAATTGAATCTTGAAATTCAGCTCAATAACATATCTTTTAGATCAATGTAATTTCTCTTGTTGACAGAATATGTTTGAATTTTCTCTTTGTCTGTTGTCATTAAACATTTATTTATATACATGGAGAATTTGTATATCCAAATTATGATCTTGTGTAACCTTGGTTAAGAAGATTGTAAGAGAATTCGAACTTTTGATAAATCAGTTAATATCTTAATCTTCATATATTTCAAATAGTTCAATATGAAATGTCAAATAATGACACTGGTTGGGTGGTCTGACTCGCTGACGTGGTTGACTCGTGTCATCGTATTCTGATTGTGTAAATCGATGCTCATGCTGTTGATCACTGGATTGTCTGGTCCAGAGTCGATTATTTACAGACTGCCACCATATAGCTGGAATACTGCTGAGTGCGGTGTTAAACAATTAACACAAACCAAGCAAACAAGTCAACTAGTTTCAAGTCCATTTATTTCGCCAATGTCTTGTAGATTGCACTGTTCCTGGAGCTGTCCACCGAGACCGGCAGGAGGCAGTGGATGATCCAAGCTTGCTCAGTCGTCAACAAGTTGCAGGTGGAAGCAGGATTTGCTAATTTAAGGAAAGTGCTTCTGGGAGGAAAAGTAACTGCACCCGAAAATGGTGCTTCAGACATGAACCGAATTTAGTCCTGAGACAATCACCATGGTAACCATCGCTAGACAAGGTTCACTCTCAGACTTGTGACTTGTCGTATCTATGCAAATAAGAACCTCATGGAATGGCAACATGCTCGAAGATTTTCTTGAAATATAAGTAGAGAAATGAGACGAGAGAAGAGTTCTTTAAACCAGTTGTTTTCATGGGAGTTTTGATTTTGCCTTGATTTGTGTCATAAGTACTTGTAAGGCATGAATATTTTCAAAAGACTATTGAGTTTTTGTATTCGTTAGTTGTTGTTTTTTTCATTTGACAGTTAAGCTCTGCTTTTTTAAAAGTTTATAAAACCTCAATTTGCTTTTCTTGTAACTAGTCACACTAAATCATGCACATTCATTTTCTGACATCTGATGTATTTTTCATGATAATCAAATGTCAGTTTACTTGATTATTTCAAAATAATGAAGTCTTTAGCTGATTAGCTCTACTGGTATGTTACTTTGAGACACCTGTTTTGAACAGGTAACAGGTTGACATATAGTCAGCACAAAGCCAAACCTGTAGTATTTAGCAGCAGTTTTCAACACTTGAGCAGTGTATTCTTCACTTGCTGTAGGGCACCTTGTGCTAGTCGTTAAACTGACAGGTGATACATTATATTGCATCAAGTGAGGATTTTTTGTTTTATGTATTTATTTATTTTTTATATGTTTAGGACAATTTACTTTTCCAATTTCTAATTTTGCCAATCTCCACTAAACACATTCTCAAAAGTGTAAATAGCGTCAGTGGAGAAAAACTGCATCATACATTAGGCGTAAGACATTATATAATATTCATGTTTCAAACCTCATGAATTTATTCTTCAATTATCAAAAGAAATAATCGATGTAAATAAACAACTACTTATATATATTTGTACTATCTAGCTACATTATATGTGCCAAATGTAGATTTCAGTATAACGTGATATGTTTGAATTATTGTCATGGATAACTGTGTTGATTTTGGAAGCATTATTGTGAAATTCATAGTCATAATGTATAGACCTGATGTAATACTAGTATATCACACTTAACTCAATATTAAAATCTTGTGTCTTATTTGGAAGTGATCAAAGTTTAAACTTCTGTCAGAGAAAATAGTAGTCAGGACATGACTACAGAATGTGAAGTCTCCAGTATGTTAGAAGTCTCCAGCATGTTAGATGCTACATCTGACTGTGGTGCCACGTTGTGTACCGACTTCCTTGTTACATGACTACAGAATGTGAAGTGTCCAGCATGTTAGCTGCTACATCTGACTGTGGTGCCACGTTGTGTACCAACTTCCTCGTTACATGACTACAGAATGTGAAGTGTCCAGCATGTTAGCTGCTACATCTGACTGTGGTGCCACGTTGTGTACCAACTTCCTTGTTACATGACTACAGAATGTGAAGTGTCCAGCATGTTAGCCTACATCTGACTGTGGTGCCACCAACTTCCTTGTTACATGACTACAGAATGTGAAGTGTCCAGCATGTTAGATGCTACATCTGACTGTGGTGCCACGTTGTGTACCAACTTCCTTGTTACATGACTACAGAATGTGAAGTGTCCAGCATGTTAGATGCTACATCTGACTGTGGTGCCACGTTGTGTACCAACTTCCTTGTTACATGACTACAGAATGTGAAGTGTCCAGCATGTTAGATGCTACATCTGACTGTGGTGCCGCGTTGTGTACCAACTTCCTTGTTACATGACTACAGAATGTGAAGTGTCAGCATGTTAGATGCTACATCTGACTGTGGTGCCACGTTGTGTACCAACTTCCTTGTTACATGACTACAGAATGTGAAGTTAGCTGTCCAGCATGTTGGTGCTGCTACATCTGACTGTGGTGCCACGTTGTTACCATTCCTTGTTACTGACTACAGAATGTGAAGTGTCCAGCATGTTAGCTGCTACATCTGACTGTGGTGCCACGTTGTACCAACTTCCTTCTTGTTACATGACTACAGAATGTGAAGTGTCCAGCATGTTAGCTGCTACATCTGACTGTGGTGCCACGTTGTGTACCAACTTCCTGGTTACATGACTACAGAATGTGAAGTGTCCAGCATGTTAGCTGCTACATCTGACTGTGGTGCCACGTTGTGTACCAACTTCCTTGTTACATGACTACAGAATGTGAAGTGTCCAGCATGTTAGCTGCTACATCTGACTGTGGTGCCGTTGTGTACCAACTTCCTGGTTACATGACTACAGAATGTGAAGTGTCCAGCATGTTAGCTGCTACATCTGACTGTGGTGCCACATGACTACAGAATGTGAAGTGTCCAGCATGTACCAACTTCCTTGTTACATGACTACAGAATGTGAAGTGTCCAGCATGTTAGCTGCTACATCTGACTGTGGTGCCACGTTGTGTACCAACTTCCTTGTTACATGACTACAGAATGTGAAGTGTCCAGCATGTTAGCTGCTACATCTGACTGTGGTGCCACGTTGTGTACCAACTTCCTTGTTACATGACTACAGAATGTGAAGTGTCCAGCATGTTAGCTGCTACATCTGACTGTGGTGCCACGTTGTGTACCAACTTCCTTGTTACATGACTACAGAATGTGAAGTGTCCAGCATGTTAGCTGCTACATCTGACTGTGGTGCCACGTTGTGTACCAACTTCCTTGTTACATGACTACAGAATGTGAAGTGTCCAGCATGTTAGCTGCTACATCTGACTGTGGTGCTTCCTGACTACAGAATGTGAAGTGTCCAGCATGTTAGCTGCTACATCTGACTGTGTGCCACGTTGTGTACCAACTTCCTTGTTACATGACTACAGAATGTGAAGTGTCCAGCATGTTAGCTGCTACATCTGACTGTGGTGCCACGTTGTGTACCAACTTCCTTGTTACATGACTACAGAATGTGAAGTGTCCAGCATGTTAGCTGCTACATCTGACTGTGGTGCCACCGCTGTGTACCAACTTCCTTGTTACATGACTACAGAATGTGAAGTGTCCAGCATGTTAGCTGCTACATCTGACTGTGGTGCCACGTTGTGTACCAACTTCCTTGTTACATGACTACAGAATGACTACAGAATGTGAAGTGTCCAGCATGTTAGCTGCTACATCTGACTGTGGTGCCACGTTGTGCCACGCTGTACCAACTTCCTTGTTACATGACTACAGAATGTGAAGTGTCCAGCATGTTAGCTGCTACATCTGACTGCTACCATCTTCCTTGTTACATGACTACAGAATGTGAAGTGTCCAGCATGTTAGCTGTACCTGACTGTGGTGCCACGTTGTGTACCAACTTCCTTGTTACATGACTACAGAATGTGAAGTGTCCAGCATGTTAGCTGCTACATCTGACTGTGGTGCCACGTTGTGTACCAACTTCCTTGTTACATGACTACAGAATGTGAAGTGTCCAGCATGTTAGCTGCTACATCTGACTGTGGTGCCACGTTGTGTACCAACTTCCTGGTTACTACCCTGGCAAGATTACTGACATACTTTCAACAGCTTCAGTCAACAAGCACAGACAACAGACCAATTTCTAAGAATATACTATCTTTACATCACTTGTATATTTGTACAAGTAGTATATTATCAGTTGGCATGTTAAAAATTTACTTTTTTGTTTATCCTTTAGACTCCATTTTGCCTGCAAATTTTGGGCTAGAAATATTGAAAAATTGTAAGTAATTATATTCTGGTCCAGAGACCTGAGCATAATGTCCATACTTTGGCACATTGGTACAGTGGTGTTCCCTGTGGGAAATAAGAAATAGTGATGAGCATTAATTTCTTGACTCCAGCTTTGTTCCCATGTTTGTCCTTGCCATTATGAACTTGTGTAAGCTGATGTCAAATTCATGGATCCATATTTCAACAAAGTATTTTTTTAATATTTTGTATATACTAATCACCTGACTGGAGACAGTTTTTATAAAAGGAAAATATTTTCCAACTATTTTTGCATATGTAATAACACAAACAACGCACGATGCACCAGCACCTTTGAGATGTGATAACTGCAGCCATCGGTGCCAGCGCTATCTAATGTGTATGCTCTAGTCGTAGGTTTGGATATACAATAATTTGGGCTGATAGCTGATATGTGTTCAGCGTCAAACTTGACCCATGTATTAGTATTGACTGTATCTCAGCTATGTGTTTAAATAATTGCATGCTGAGCTTTCAGATTATATAAACATAAGTAAAGGCTTTCCATGTTTATTAGTTGGTTTACCCCAACATGGCAGAAGATTCATTGTAGTTGGTCGAAATGGGCAGAATTTAAGATATTTGAACTTGTAGTTTCTGCTGCCACTGTACGAAAAACCAACTGAAAGGTCACACAGAGACAGACCAAATGTAAGACAATACTGAAGCATAGTTGAGTGGGTTTTGATAGTTTGACAGTCAAGTTTTTACTACATCTTCCTCCATGTTTCTTATAGACAGCAATCATAGTGTTTTGTGTGTTTGTCCATTTCATATATTTTTAAAACAGTGGATTTTTTTGTGGTCATAATCATGTGTTATTTTCAAAGTTATGTAATTGGTTAGTCCTGTAAAGCAACTAAAACAAGGATATGGCCTAGCAGAGTGACAGCGGTAGCTATTTGTGGAGATGATGTAGTTTCAGCATTTGTCCCACTGCATGTTCCTGTGTTCCCCAGTAGGTGAGTGTTCATAGTCCCTGTCAGGACAGGCAAACCAATAGTCACAGTTTGATATATATAGTATTATTGATATCAGTCTGTGGGTGTCAACATCTTCAGCTGTCACATCACATTCTTTATATTGTACACTACTCAAGGCAAGTTACAGACATCCCGTCTTTAATTATGACTACATATCAGTCATGGCCACTTGATACACAGTTTAAAAATGCTGACATGAAAAAAATATTAATAAATGAAAAGGAAACGAATTATTATATATGGTATAACACTGCTGTGTGTTTGGAGTTGGAGATCGCCATTGGTCAAATGGTCATTTGGCCTAACAGCAAGTGTTTAGAATGGGAGAGAAAATGGCGAGTGTATGCATCATTTCGTAGAACTTCAATTTGCCATTCCATTGTGACAGGTTGGTTCAGTAGTGAGCCTCAATTTACAAAAAGCATTCCTTCTACCAGGAGATATATAGACATTATTTTGACTAGGTTCTGTTTTCCTTGAGACTTTTCCTTGTTACCCTGATGTTTGTTTAAGTGTTGTAGATATGTTGAACCTGTTATTACTACTGGCTGCCTTAGAACATAGCTCAGTATGGTATTTTCTACTTATATTGCTTCCTTGAATGCTGGATATACACAGATGGAACAGATTACTGGCCAGCTGGAAGGGTGGATATACACAGATAGACCAGATTACTGCCCTGCTGGAAGGGTGGATATACACAGATAGACCAGATTACTGGCCAGCTGGAAGTGTGGATATACACAGATGGAACAGATTACTGGCCAGCTGGAAGGGTGGATATACACAGATAGACCAGATTACTGGCCAGCTGGAAGGGTGGATATACACAGATAGACCAGATTACTGGCCAGCTGGAAGTGTGGATATACACAGATAGACCAGATTACTGGCCAGCTGGAAGTGTGGATATACACAGATAGACCAGATTACTGGCCAGCTGGAAGTGTGGACCTTCAGCACTACTGGTTCCTGGAGCTGTCTCCTGCTGTGTAGATCTTGTTTCTATTTGTGCATTACAACATAGGGTTGGTTGGTTTGTTGTTTAACACCGCACTCAGCAATATTCCAGCTATATGGTGGCGGTCTGTAAACAATCGAGTCTGGACCAGACAATCCAGTGATCAACGACATGAGCATTGATCTGCGCAATTGGGAACTGATGACATGTGTCAACCAAGTCAGAGAGCCTGACCACCCG